AATACTAATGGACCAATTTAATTTAAAAAAAAAAACAAACAAAGGACCATGAACAGTCACCATTCTATTAATTATAAATTTTAGCATCTTTCTTATTGAATATTGATGGCGATTTTTTCATTTGGCGGTGTATAGCATCCTTGTAATTCATGAATTATTGCTAATTTTACTTAATTAATTGCAACCAAAAACTCTGGCACTGATATGTTAATGAATAACACATGGGTGGATTAACATTTAACATAATAATATCAAATAGCTGAGTGAGAGACGGATTATCTATTAATAAGTTCTTGTGTAGCGGGGGGAAATTAAAGAGAAGTGGAGAAGAGTGGGTGTCAAATTGAAGGTATAAAATACAAATTCAAGATTTTGTTGACCATCACGCTGTGAGCATATATTTATGTTGTGCAATCTAATACCCGTTGAAACTTAAAACCAACGACGACCTTGATGACACAAAAAGTCGAGACAATGATAATGACCATCTTAAATTTTCGGCAGAGCTCTTTTCCCCCCCGAAGATTTGTCCCATTACTTTTGCTGGTTGTGAAGGATCATTAATGAAAAAAAGATGACAGTATTAATGTATTATACAATTATTCCAAAGGACACATATCCTTCCGTTCTCCACTTTTAAAACTCTAAATTGGGTCATCATTAGATACTTTGTGCAACTGCGAAGCAGACAAGAGAAAAAAGTGTTCAAGAATATTCATACGTCAAAAACAATATGAAAGGTGTGTATATAATGTACCAATGCTTTTAATGAATCCCTAAGAATGGTTCATGTTGTTGTCAAATATTTGTAATGATTCTGGCGGGCACTTATTAATTAAATATTCATAACCCAATATATATCTAATTCTTACTGTATAGATTCTTTTATAGTTTCTTTTAAATTGAAAGGCACGAGAGAAGATCTTTGTCGAAGCAAAGAGCCCAACAACGTTATCGCCTAAACCACGAAGGAAGAAAATTTGCTGCCTGCAACATTTAGCTAGCTTAAGGCCATTGTATTACTGTTGTAAAATTTTAACTAGATATCGAAACTTTTAAGTCTTTCAAGTCGTAGTTAATTGGGTTAAATCGTGATTGAACTAAAAAAATGCTTGAACCGAAAAATATATAGTCAATTCATTGCCTGACCGATTCTATCGGTTGGTTTAGTTTAATTTTTAATTTGTATGATTTCCTATGTACTCGCCATGATGAGGGTTGAGCCATGTTGTAGAGGTCTCTACTTTCTAAAACGCATTTTTCTTAAAGAAAAAGAAATGTGATGTTTCTTTTGAAGGGGAAGTTGATAGTGATACATGGAGAGATGTAATAGTATGAACTAGAGCTCATGGAGATTATTGTGGAGGTTACAAACAAGCTAAGGATAAGTGGAGGTGAAAAGGTATGGTATGACTACGAGAAGTGATTTTTGTAAAGTACCAACAACCAGGAAAAAGGTTTTTGAGAAGATGACCCCTCATGGAGGACCGAGGATACTTATAATGTGAGAAGAGTCATAGGTGTGAGAATGATAAACCTATAACCCATTTTAGTCCTTTGGACCATATTGACGTATGAGATTACGTAATTTTTCATATATAACGGTTATGCATGTGTGAAAATGAGCATCAATTGAGTTTGAAAAAACAATTCATCCTCTCATGAAAAGTGAGCTGCGTCTGTCAGGCAATTTTATATGTAAAAATGTTTTTTTTACAATTTTTTTTTATAAATTTTTGCAAATTACACTATTTACTTCTGAAAGCAATGTTATTAAAATCGGTCCGATCATTGATCCGGTTGAGATACCAGGTCACTGGTTCAACCGTATTACCCGATGATTATAGATTTATAAATCTATAATTTATATTAAAAAATTATAAACATACTCAAATAGTTGAAAAACATAATATAAATTATAAATATTTTAATATAAAAAATAATAAATTATACATTATAGTCCAATAAAAGATCAAACAAACATATAATGCTTGTGATATTGGTGTTTCAGGTTCAGCGAATGACATCTCAACTATAAATCAAATCAAAATTTTCTATATAATGCACAACTTGACATAATATTAGTATTATAGGTACATAATTTATATAAGTCAATAAGCAACAAATCACTCAAATATGTCAATTATGAAGAAAAAAATTGGAATTTTTTTTTTGGGAAGTTTTTTTTTTAATAAACCGGGTCGGGTCACCGGTTAACAGACCGGGTCACCAATTTTCACCAAAATCGACCGGGTTGGACTGGGTCACACCGGGCCTGGTACTTAACCGATCCAATGTGATAACCAGACCGGTCAAAGATCGATTCATCGGGTTCCGGGTCGATCCGATCTGATTTTCACAACATTGCCCAAAAGTACATAGTGTATCCTAGTGTACCTCCGGAAGTACATAGTGTAGTTTGTAAAAAAAAATTTATAAATGTACCCCTCCCTAAATATTTTTATATGTAACTGGTTGAGAACAAAAACTTTCGACTTCAATAATAAAGCAATTTTATATGTAAAAAATTTAGCGCATTAAATAGTTATTAAAATTAATTTATTTTCTGCTCACTCTCACGTATTAATCTATTACAAGGTGAACCAAGCACAAATCCACCACTATCAATATTAAACTTTATAATAACGAATTTATGTGAAATATCCTTTTTAAAAACTCTACAAAATGCAGTATTGTTAGAAAAACTAGCGCTATTAATATTTTAATTTAGATGAGACAGTTAATATCATCATTTATAACCGATTGCTAGTTTGAGGGAAATTTGAAAGAAAAAAAATCGACTTCGATTCAGTCCTAATAATTTAAGGCGATAGAGGTTATTTTTTTATTTAAAAGATAATAGTTGGATAAAAAAGAAGAATTACATTTAACTTTTGAGATACAACCAAAAGAAAATCAACCCGATTTTCTTACAAAAAATAAAATTTGAATTTAATTTATAAATATTAAAGTCACATTAATTTTAAGTATTTTTGTCATCAAATTAGTTCTACAAAACTTATATTAATATATTAGTCCGTTGAAATTTTCTGAACCAAATTAATTGCTGAAAAATATAAAATTTTCACCAAATTTACCATCTTGTACCACCACTTTATTTATAATATGGATGAACTTAATTTTTGACACTTCAATTTTCTTATAAATGTTTATACTAAAAATATTTAAACAAAATTAAATATTTACTTTAAGATAAAATAATTGGAATTAATGTCTCTCATTTCGTAGGAGATAAAATTATCTCCTACGCACACATAAAAATAATATGTGAGGACCATTTGAAGAAAAGAGAGAGAAAATATGAATTTCATACACTTTCATATATGTATATGAGATAAAATAGTTATCTCTTATAATATCAGAAAAACTAGCCCGAAAATAATTATACAATTATATGACATAATGTAGCAAGCATCGAATAATTGGAATGTGCTTCGCACCCATAGATGTCACATGGGAAGGACACAAACACATGTAGGTTCTTGGTCGGTTCCTAGAATAATTTTCGTCATTTCAATTTCGGACAAAGAATTCATACATTCTTTCCAAATCTTGTATAGAACTCTAACATCCTTATGAAAAAAAAAATAATCATTTTTCAACATGGACAATGCTGCATTTAATCTTAAAGGGATCAAAAGGGAAACCAAAGGTTCCACATTATATCAACTGTAAAATCAACACCCACCGGTTGAAGCGGCGAAAAGTTTGATGTTACGTGTGCCCTTGGAACAAATAAAATGGATTAAGAGAGAATCGCGTCCTTCGTAGAGTCCAAAAGTTGTATTAACTAGTTCTCTGATAAATCGGTTGGCAAAATTAGCGTTATCAAATTTGGATCAATTAGGGCGTTGGATCAATGAACTAGTATTTCACTGATTTATAGAAATAAATTTATATAAAAATGTATAATAAATATAATAATATATTTATTAATATGACCAACATATAATATTAACTTAGAGAAAAATGTGACAAGTCCCAATATGCATAAGATATCAAACGTTTAAATAATGAGGAAATGATTTTTGCTTCAAATGCAGAAATTTTTTGTCTGTCTCAGAGAGAAAAAATGGAGTAAGGTCCATCATGCTTATGGTTTTTCTCTTTTTATGGTTTCTCTGACATTTTTTTTCTTTACGGAACAGACAAATAGTTTATGTCTTTGAAGCAAAAATTATTTCCCATTAAATAATTTACTTAAAATTCCAAAAATCAAGACCTATTTAATATCGGTTGAATTCCATTTGCTAGTTTAACATTGGTTGGTATGTAGAACCGGTCAAATAATTGGGTTGTTGGTTCGATTCTTAATTAGAGCAATTGAGTCCAATTTTTTTTTTTTAGTACAGAATCCAGTCCAATTTTTGTAACACCGGGGAAGACCATTTTTTTTAAATAATAATTCAACACTGTAAATTTTTTTTAACAAATAAGTACAATGTATTAAGACAAAATCACGTCTTCACTTTTCGTTATAGGTGTAGACGTGTGGTATGCCTTTTGTTTCTCCTCTTCTTGTGTTTTTAAGCGGTGTGTGAGTGAATTATTTAATGTCGAAATCTTCTACAGAACAAAAAATAATTGTGAGAGATCCGCAAACATTCCGAGGAAATTAACACGCTAATAATTCACAAGTGGATACATACTTCGAGTAGGGGGGTCCCACCACAACATAAATTAGTTGTCGCTTCCATCTTTTATTCTTTTTTTCTCAGGCTAATTTGTAGCCGCAGGGAAAAAAGCAAAACGAGAAGGAAAAAAAAAACCTATAATTATGCGTCTCTTCCTAACTTATTGAATTGGAACATGTATATTCCCTTCAGACTGGTGACGCAGATGCATGTACCTGCCTATCCCTTGTTACATATATTACTTGACGGGCCACACCCTTGAACACATCTCAACTAGGATAATAGAGATGTTTTGCAGAATTGGAGTCAATAGAGGGTAAAAGCCTTTAATATTTCAGGTTTAATTCAGCTGAAAGCAGCTTCACCCTGGACAGTGCGTGATAGTTGATTCACAGCTGCTGCAATTTCATCCACCGTGTTCAGCTGACACCCTTCCTCTACCTATTCCAATAAATTAATACAAAACGAAATTAAGACTTTTAAAAAAAAAATGTTACTTTTCATAAATAAAATTTAAAGAAGAAAACAAATTAATTAAAGGAACCTAGCTAGCAGAAAATGGCAAAAAAGGCAAACCAACCTTTACACTAACTGAGGTAAGGACCATATCGTCCACAGTGGTAACATTAAGGTGGAGAATGCCGAGTCCAAGACTTTGTAGCCCAACAACCATTTTCATAATCTGCCCAGGTTGTTTCTTTGAGAGTATCTTTATGTTGGCATGGCTATCCACCAAGGTCACTTCTATATCTGCTACGGCCCATGATTGATTCTTGTTCTGGCTCTGTTCCATGTACGAGGATGTGCTACTCTGAGTTGCACGAGTTGAGTACTGAGGGAACATGAAGAACTCAGCAAGGGGTGAGACTGAGGAGGCACTGGAGCAATTCTCCTGAACTTGTTCCTTTGTTTTCTTTTGTCCCTTCATGCACTGTAGAAGCTGCTCCAGCTCCTTCACGAAGTTAATTGCGCCTCCAATAATAGAGGCTTGATCACCCTGTTTTGGAACCAGACATTATTAGTACAGTTAGTTAGTATTGACATTTAAGGTCAAAACAATTTTAAAAACAAATTAATCAAGGTCATATCAGGTTATGCTCTTTTTGGGGTTTCTAATCAAATCGAAACTGACCCTTTGTACATAAGAAGGAGGCATCAAAGATCTGAGCACAGCGAGGTACTCATTCATCTGTTTCCTTCGATTGCGCTCAACTGCAATGTGGGTCATCCTCTGGTTCTCGATTTCCTCCATGTTCTTTGCGCTTTTGGTGCGACGTCGTTTGCGCCGACTTGTGGCGGCAGCGGCGGCGGCGGTGGTCACAGTGGAGGAAGGAGGAAGAGGGGAAGCAGCTCGGGGCATGGATTGATCAACGGTGCAAGCCTCTGGGGAGGAAGAGTGTGAATCCCATTGGTCCTTGACATTTCGCAACACCGAGGAAGAAGAAGAATCCCAATTTGCATGGAGATTGTGCTCTATGTTATTGTTGATAATTCCAAGAATGGCTTTCTCTTCTGTTGCTTGGAAACCGTAGTCGTTGTTCCAGGTTGAGTCACTAGCAGCACTTCCTCCTCCTAATAAGGAGTACAAGTAATCTTTGCAACCATAAGAAAATGGATCTTGTGGGAAAACCACAGCTTCAAGGGCCATTAGTTATCACTTTTTATATAAAGTTGAAATCGCTGATATGGAGAAAGAGGTCCCGCTCCTTGTAGCTCACTAAGTAGACACTACTTTTTTTTTTCTTGAAAAGGATGAAAAAAGAGAAAGCAGAGAGCTGAGGAAAAAGGTTTGAGAGAGAAAAAGAGAGATAGATATGGCTGAGGGCTGAGGCTGTAAATTAAAGGAAAGTCTAGACTGAGATGAAGTTTAATGATTAGATGCTAACAACAGTTTTGGCAAAGAAAGGAAGATGAAGGTTAATGATTAGATACTAGAAATAGTTTGGCAAAGAAAGAAAGGAAGGAAGAAGCTTGACCAAAAGCCAAAGCACGAGCACTAAGTTCCTAATAGAGCAAACAAAGTAGCCCTTTTATCGTCATCTTATGAACAAAGCCCCTCTGCCTTCAAATCTCTAAGAGGATTGTTCATACAAACAAAAAAGCTACAGCACTATGCACGTGAGGTTTGTCACTTTAGACCAGTTCCTTGATCGCACAAACTTAACCACAGGGAAACACAGGGAGAGAGTGTGAAATTCTCTTGTCACTTTCTTAATTTCTCAAACTAATAATCATACAAGCAATAAATTAATGACTCCTGCAATAGTTTGTAAAGAGAAACAAAAACCTCCATATTATGTGTAATAGATATCAGATTGATTTGGTACGAAACCACATCTATGGTTTTATATTTAACTCTAATTGTCACCTTTCCTTTTTTTTTTTTTATCATATGAAATCCCCATTTTTTATTTTATGCATAATTTTTTTCCGAAAAAAAAAAAAACAACTCTGAAACTTAGAAATAAAATGTAATCGTTTGATTTTATTTTTTTCTGGAATTGCTTAACCTTATGCTCAAATGCATCATCACATTCAATTCTAACAACAAATTATAGCCGAAAATAATGTGTGTGTAAGTGTGAAACCACCGGTTGGTTGGCAAGGGGACAAAAACATATGAAAAAAAACATACATACAAATATACAATAAACTGTATCAGATACCTATTTCGTCAAAAGGGCAGAGTCTTCCCTGTTGTGACACTCATGGAATTTTTTTTTTACCAGTCGATATAGATAAATTATCTATATTGGACTCAAAATAACAATGTTTTAAGACAAAAATAAAGGTATTTTTATAAAGAATAGATTATTCTATCTACTATTTTCTTCTGCTTATCTTTGTCTATTACTCTCTAATACCGATAGATCAGAATATCAAGAGGAGAGAAACAGATAAAGATTAGTTGAAATTCTGATCTAATGATATTTTAAAGTGATAAGCAAGATAGACAAAAAACAGTAGATAGAATAACTTATTCTTTTTTATAAATATAATTTATTTGAGGTTATAATAATATTTTATAATATAATTTTTTAATCTTTCAACTTAAAATGATGTCATTTTGAGAGTAAATAAAAATAACATATTTATATTCGTTATAGAAACGTTAAAAGAATTGTTAATATTATAGATAACTTAGGTTGTCGATATCTGTTTACTATATGTTATGCCAAAGGATAAAGTGGTCCTTTTCATCTACACAAGTTTCAATTGTTAATATTATAATTTTAATCACATCATCAATGAGGAGATTGGCAAGCTCTATATATAGTTTATAAATTTATAAATTATTACTTGAAGATCTTATATTTTTTATTACCTATTAATTTGCTAAGTAATATGTTATTAATTTCTATCAAACTGTTAATTAATTAATTATTTAATATATGGTTTATTTAAAAAAATTATTTATATATTAAAATCATTACATGATTTGGACATAAATCAAATAATTAAGAAATAACAATAATGAGTGAAATGAGTAATTAATTCATATTCTGTTTTTTTCATTAAAAAAATAGAAAAAAATTTCTTCACTAAAATTAAACTCTTCTAATAGCTTTTTTAATTGAACGAACTGATAAAAGTATAAATGATTAAAATAAAAATTATATATATATATATATAACATAAAGTGGTTATATTTATAATTTATTTTTGCTTACAATCTCTTATAATTAATTTTTTATCCTTGAATTAAAATAAAATTAATGACTATAAAATGACATTAAGTGAAAGCTGTTAAATTATTTTGATCCAAAAATAAATAAGTAAATCTGAAAAACTATAATAAAAATAATTATAAATACAACTTCCCTTATATTCATATTCATATATATATATATATATATATATATATATATATATATATATATAATAACTTCCCTTATCCACAATATTCTTAGCGATACATATTGAGTGGTATATCGGAAAGAGTATTGCATCAGATGTATTATATGATATGAAAATAAATCAAAAATTTTAATATTTAATTAAAAAAATAAATATTTGATTTACGATTTAAATGAAAAAAATCTACAAAAGTTATTATTAATAAGGAAAAGAAGATAAAGATTTTACTTAAATCAATCTTAAAGTGACAAAAATGATAAAAGTACAAGTGTCATCATACAAGAACAAGATAATGACAACAAGATTGATAAACGAAATGATACTGCCAACAAGAATGATAAGGAAAAATGATCTCAGATTATTGAACAAAAATGATAAATGAGTCAAATGACTATATTAATGAAGAGGATAATAGATTAATTATGTCATTGGTAGATACTAATAATGATAATAGTGATAACATTAATCTTGACGATTAATAATTAGGAGAATAATTGATTTGCACTTTAATTACGTATGTATTTTGCTGATGGAATCTTTTTTGAAATTTAAATTTATATGATATTAAGTACACTATATATTTTTAAATCATTTTTATTATATTTATATATTTTACTATTCGATATAATACACGATAGAAAAACAATAATACACTTAAGTATTGTGATTTAAAAACCTTGATTTTAAATTAATTACACTCTGTATTGGGGTTTGGACATGAGACAAAAGCTTCTAATAGCCTCCCAGACTTAACCGAGGGCAAAAAAATTAAAATAATGTATTTAAATTAAATAATTACGCATTTAATGTTGTTTTGTAAAAAATTACACATCTACTGCACAATGTGACGCTACTTTTGGGCGTCACATGTGACGCCCAAAGATGGCGTCACATGTGTGCTCTATATATTTCCCCACCCCCTCCATTCAATTCACACCTCTTATCTCACTCTTCATATCTCTCTTCTCCACCAACATTCCTTTATCTTTAATTTAGTATTTGAATTTTAGTTCTAATTCTATTTAAAAATGAGCTCAAATCTTGATTCTGTTCGTGTTGTGTTATATTACAATGGTAGGAAGGTAGAAGGTCGACGAGGTGTCATATTCGAAGGTGAAAAAAGCCGACATGTATCCAACGCAACACAACCATTGGCGAACTGCATCAGAGAATTCGGGAGAAGTTAAGTCTTCAAGACAACCAATGTATCACTGAGATCACAACAAGGGTGTGGCAAGGTGATAAATACATTAGTTTGAAAGTGCTTGACGATGAAGACTTGGAGATGACAATGGAAGAATTTTGCAACCAGTCAAGGACAGATTTTCTAGAGTTGTATGTCGACATCGTCGCAACCGAGAATGCTCCCATACCGGTGATGTCAGTTTATTTAAATTCTCCCCGTCTTCCAGCTTTTCTTGCCGCTCATGCGTCTCCAGTTGGTAACTTTTCTGAGGGAGATGAAAATGATCCGACTTGGGAAATGCACGACGAAGATGACGATGACGACGATGAAAACATGGCAATGGAAGAACATCATCTGGCGGAATATGCTAGTGCTTCAGAAGAAGATGAATCTCGTGAGATGGGTGCGTCTGAAATCCCAATATTCCATCAACCAGTCGTCGCGCAAATGCCGCAGTTGAATGACGTTGCGTCTGCTCCGTTTGGTATTCCACAAGAAGGTAATTGATCCCATTCGTCATACTGCGTGAATAAATAACTGATTTAATACCTGAAATAGTAAGTTCGTATTAAAAAATTATAATCTGCAATTGCAGGTGACACAAATGTTATTCCTTTTTGGGAAGGAATTCCGCATTATTTTTACATTGATTGGAGTTATCAGAGCGAACAAGAATCATGTACTGATGGTTCGGTGTCTGGATCGGCTTCAATACAAGGTCCGTGGCAACTGAGTGACATGTTATTTGTCAATCAAGAATCAAAATTATTTATTTAAGCATATGCGTCATTTATTTAACTAGAATCAAAATTTATGAAGTCCCGCCAAAACGTAGAACAATTATTTATTTACAATTAAATAATAATAATACATCGGACAAAAATAATATAATACTAACTGAATACTTAACCCTAGGTCACTACCAACTTGTCCAATACGTACTAATCATCACACCTAACTAACTACAAAGTTATGCACTCCCGCATTAATAACATCATACATTCAAAATTTACGATGTCTCTAACACTATTTATAAATCACTAATTAATATGCTAAACCCTAATGCATAATTAAAAATTAATAATAATAACTACGTAATAATAAAATTACTATATCATTACAACATTCATAGCATGCCACAAAATTTCCAAGTGACTATCCTAATGTTCCAAGTCTCTAATATACAATCAATCCTAACATGTATTACTAACTAGCACTGTAATTTAAATGTATACATATGAGGTATTATGACCTTACCTACGTTGGCAGAACTTCGCTACGAACCGCGGTTAGAGAGAGGTTGGAGAGAGGTTAGAGAGGTAAATGAGTAAGGAGTGAAAAAAGGAAAGTGGGGTATATATAGGTTGCACATGAGACGCCCCCTTTGCGTCACATGTGACGCCCCAATGGGGCGTCTTCTCCAAGGGAGAGACGCCTCACTGGGGCGTCACATGTGACGCCCAAAGAGGGCATCTCATTGTGCAACAGATGTGTAATTTTTAACAAAACAACATTAAATGCATAATTATTTTAATTAATTACGTTATTTTAATTTTTTTCCCTTAACCGAGTGGTAAGGCTGCCCTAGTAGGTCTAGTAACAAT